AGAAGCTTTAAATTCCTGTAATAAAAGGGAAATTGAGGGCAGAGCAATCAGACTGGAGTTGCAAGGACCCAGAGGATCACCTAATGCCAGAAGCCGTGAGTTATATTTAATAGGGCGTGGTGTTGTGGGTCAGCACTCCTCGGTGCATTGCTGCATCGGTGGTTTTGGGGGGGGGGGGCTCCAATTTAGAGATGAACATTTTTGTTTTCCTCTTGTTGCTGAGTGAAGGATACTGGATATGATGACTGATTATCTGAGAAAATAATTGATGAAATCTCAAGAAAATTCCTCTAGATAGTCAAGTTCTGATCCAGCTGTCTTCTCTGCCCCTGGTTACTGCCCTGTGCAGTGATTGTAAAAAGCTGCCTGCTTAGGGATTGCTGTCTGCCTTGTTTGCATTGCTTCTCCTGCTTTCCATAAAGGATCTGAGACAGGATCTGAGCTGCTCTAGTAATCAACATAAGCTTAAGATGGTGGTGGCTGTTGTATGCCTTTTGTTTTAATTCAGCACTAGTTCGCTAAGTTGCTTTTTACCTGCTTTTTTTCAGCCTTTAAGTGAAAGGCTAGCATCTGCTAAGATGCGCATTCTTGGCCAGTAGTCTTAACACTGGACATTATTGAAAGCCAGCATCTGGTTATTACGAATTGTGGCTTTAGGTAAAATGTGCAATTTTTCTTCCGTAGAGCCGTCCAAAACTTTGTTTGTCAAAGGTCTGTCTGAGGATACCACAGAAGAGACGTTAAAGGAGTCGTTTGATGGCTCTGTTCGGGCAAGGATAGTCACTGACCGGGAGACTGGGTCTTCTAAAGGGTAAGATGAGCAGGGAATGTTCAGTGTCTGCTAAGGGGAGACCTCCCATCTAGCAAATCTTCTCATTGAGCTCCTTTCTGTCGGTTGGTGGCAGTTTATGGATTCGCACGAGAAGAAGAGACAATTCACAGTTAGCATTATTTTACCTTCTGTCTTCGCAGAGGTATATTTTGCTGTTTGTGAGACATTTCTGAGGTTCAAGCAGTCAGTAAATCCAGTTTTCAACCTTCCATAGGTAGCTTACTGTATTGCTTGGGTCTTTTTTCAGTTGAGCAAGTCTACTTCCTATGGGATCAGTGTCTAGCGTGTGCGGTTAATCTGGGCCCTTGTTCAGTATGTATTCTATAATGGGCAATTTCACTTGGCATTTTAGGTTTGGTTTTGTAGACTTCAACAGTGAGGAAGATGCGAAAGCTGCCAAGGAGGCCATGGAAGATGGTGAAATTGATGGAAACAAAGTTACTTTGGACTGGGCCAAGCCTAAGGGTGAAGGTGGTTTTGGAGGCCGTGGTGGAGGCCGAGGTGGCTTTGGAGGCAGAGGTGGTGGCAGAGGAGGCCGAGGTGGATTTGGTGGCAGAGGCCGGGGAGGCTTTGGAGGTAAGAAAGCTGGGGGGCTTCCTTTTGTATGCCCTGGATACTGTGGCATATGCACTTCGGAATGTGCTCAGAGCCTCAATCTCCCAAGTTCTCACTGATCACTCTGGGGAGGGGAGGATTCCTGGCAGCTTTGCACTCATTCTTTAATGATGTCTTGCTTTCTTGTAGGGCGAGGAGGCTTCCGAGGAGGCAGAGGAGGAGGGGGAGACCACAAGCCACAAGGAAAGAAGACGAAGTTTGAATAGTTTCTTCCATCCCTCTGTCTTTCCCTCTTCTGTTTGAAAGAAAAGGACTCTGGGGTTTTTACTCTGTTACCTGATCAATGACAGAGCCTTCTGAGGACATTCCAAGACAGTACAGTCCTGTGGTCTACTTGGAAATTCGTATAGATAACATTTCAAGGGAGATACCCTGTTGGTTTTGACTGGATATTCATATAAACTTTTTAAAGAGATGAGTGATAGAGCTAATCCTTATCTGTAAGTTTTGAATTTATATTGTTTCTTCCCATGTACAAAACCATTTTTTTCCTACAAATAGTTTTGTTTTTGTTTTTTGCGTTGGGGGGCGTAAAGGAAAGCAGAATGTTTTATCATGATTTTTGCTTCAGCAACTTTGGGACAAATTAAAAGTCCTAAACTCTGGTGCCAGACTTGTACTTCCTAGAGTGTTTCTCCTGGACTATTACTGAAGGTAGAGCATGGCAAAGCCAGCTCTGCCACTCCAGATCCACCCCACCACCCCTCCCGGAAATGCTTGGTAAATTGGTTTGAAGTATCCTGGCTACGGGTTTCGGTGAAATGGCTGGTAAGGTGACATGAAAGGCTTGTTGGCAATCTGCTGTGGCTTACCCTGCTTGTAGCAGGCCTGAGGTTATCCGGTATCCTGAAGAAGTTCTGGAGAGGGTCCAGGAGCACATTGGTCAGGCCTCCTGAGGCATGCAGCTGAGAGCGTGGACTCTGGAATTGGCAATGACTCAGTAGAATTTGTACCAGATGACTGGACCAGTGGGGGCTTTGGGACCGTGAGCCTGGGGAGGAAACTATCAAATCCACCAACAACCTCAGGTTAAACCGATGAGAAAGAACTTTGGTATTAGACTATGTTCATACTCCCTAATATAAGTACTCCTTCTCCCGTCTACCTCTGATAAAAATTAAGGGCCATATGAAAGGTCTATTGCCAAGGGATTAACAGGATTACTGAACAGTGACCCAGATGCTACAGAGCAGAGATTTTAAACCTAACCATCCAAATCCAAACGCCCATGGACTCTTAACCACCTGTTTTTTTTTTTTTTAAAGATTTTATTTATTTGACAGAGACACAGGGAGAGAGGGAACACAAGCAGGGGGAGTAGCAGAGGGAGAAGCAGGCTTCCCGCAGAGCAGGGAGCCCGATGTGGGGCTCAATCCCAGGACCCTGGGATCATGACCTGAGCCGAAGGCAGCCGCTCAACTGACTGAGTCACCCAGGCGCCCCTCTAAACCACCTGTTTCAATCAGACTAGTCAAAATGTAGAAGAGGCACCTGGCTAGTAGAGCATGCAACTCTTGGTCTCAGGGTTGTGAGTTTGAGCCCCACATTGGGTGTAGAAATTGCTTAAAAAAGAAAATCCTTTAAATACATATATAAAAAATATATATATATATATGTGTGTGTGTGTGTATACACAGACTGGAGAATTTTTTAGGCTTAGAGGGCAGTCTAAAGGAAATGGACAGTTCTGTTTTGTCCTGTTTGAGTTGCACTATGGGATGAGGAAATCTAAACTCCCCATGTATCATCTGACTTAAACCAGTCTTGATGCAAGTACTGTGGATGTAGAGGACCAATGGCCTCCTTGGAGGGTGAGCTTGCCAGTGGAAGTTTGGTGCTGTGAAGAAAGCTCAAGCCAGCAGGAGCACATTCTCTGACCAGTCAAACCTAAAAAAAAACTTGGCACCCTGTTTGCCTAAATTCAAAAGTTTGAATTGGAGCAAATCAAGAATATTGTGGGTTAAGTCTGTTAGCTCTTAAATTACAGCAAAGGTGAATGGTGGTCAAAATTTCTATCAGTGGCAGATGAATGCCCCACCACTGGACTCGCAAGAAGGCCTGTGAGGTTGGTGTGAAGATCTCGAGACCCAGCAAAGGATGACGAGGGCCTCTGTGACCCTACAGCCTTGCCTATGTAGGTGCTTGCCCTGGTTGCCTACTCTTGTCTGGCAGGCTTGCAGGTTTAAACCTGAAAATAAGGTATTTGACCATTAGGAACATGAATTGGGGTTGCTGTAGGCGCAGGCCCAGCACGGCCACTGCTCAAGTACTACTCAAATGCTGTTAAATAGGATTTGACCACCCCAGACTTGGGGTTCTTGTGGGGTCCTTGCTGGAGGGAATCAAACCTACTGGACCATTAAGAGTTCCTCTTACATGTATACTTTTTGAGAGCGTGCACAGGAGGAGAGGGAGAAGCTGACTGCCAGCTGACCAGAGAGCCCATCCTGGGGCTTGATCCCAGGACCCCGAGATCATGATGTGAGCAGAAGTCAGACGCTTAACCGAGTCACCTACAATGAGTGAATTCTGATTCCAAAGAGTGAATGTTTCTGATACTGTGCCTGGGGTGTGCCGGGCATTTACCTCAGCCCCTCTATAAACCTGCTGTGGGCAGAAAATTAAGGTTCATTCTCACTTTCTATTTGGTTCATCACCATTAAGGGTGACAGTCTAGCCAGCCTTGTTATTACTGGTTGTTCCAGAGGTGGTGGCCTGACTTGGGTGGAATGGAGAGGAGGTTGGAGGGTGTCGGTAGCCCTGGAAGGCCAGAGGAGCGTTCAGGTTTCTTTTGAGGGACTGGAATCCTGCAAATATCTTAATCCTAGGCCTCCCTGAAGGCTGGTTTTGGATTTGGTGGGTTGGGTGAAGATTTTGCAGCCATTTTAGAAAAGCGGTTCCCTTTAGCAAATGGTTGTCGCTGCATCTGTCATTCTTCCAGCAGGTGGCAGCACATCCACAAGGATGTGAAACCTGAGGCTTCGTTTCAGGCCAGTGTGTGTGTGTGTGTTAAAGATTTTATTTATTCGTTTGAGAGAGCGCACACAAGTAGAGGGAGAAGCAGGCTCAGCCCGACATGGGGCTCGATCCCAGGTCCCCAGGATCATGACCTGAGCCGAAGGCAGACACTTAACCATCTGAGCCACCCAGGTGCCCCACAAGGCCAATGTGTTCTTTTTTTTTTTAAAGTTTTTTTTTTTTTTAATTTATTTGACAGAGACAGCGAGAGAAGGAACACAAGCAGGGAGAGTGGGAGAGGGAGAAGCAGGCTCTCCGCCGAGCAGGGAGCCCGATGCGGGGCTCGATCCCAGGACCCCGGGATCATGACCCGAGCCGAAGGCAGACGCTTTAATGACTGAGCCACCCAGGCGCTCCAAGGCCAATGTGTTCTTAACTTCAAACTTATCCTCGGGTTAAGTGCTGGGGCTTGGGAATCTGCAAGGAAGTACACTCAGCACACTGAGAGATGCTTTAGAATCCACAGACAACTCCATTTTATTGAACACTTGTCTTGTGCCCATTCTCAGAGTTATCCCATTTTTCTGAGCTTGGTTCACTAATGATCTCTTTTGTATCTCAATCTCTGTCTCCCCTCAGCCTAAAAAAGTGCCAAGACTTTTCTCATTAAAAAAAAAATGGTCCCCTGGGGCACCCGGGTGGCTCAGTCAGTTAAACATCTGCCTTCCGCTCAGGTCATGATCCCAGCATTCTGGGATTGAGCCCCGTATTGGGCTCCCTGCTCAGCGGGGAGCCTGCTTCTCCCTCTCCCTTTTTCTACTGCCTCCCTTACTTGTGTTCTCTCTCTCTGCTAAATAAATAAAGATTGTCCACTGACCCGACCTCCCCACCCAGTAATTCCCACTTCCCTTCATTGCCAAACTTTGAGAAGGACCACACTCTTGCCTCCCACTCCTTTTCCCCAGCATTGTGGCTTCTGTCCACCTGCTTACCTGCAGCATCTGATAGATGATCTCTCCTTCCATCCTGAGAAAATGGGCAGACACAGTAGAGTGGTGGCTTTGTGATACTGGGCTGAGGTGGAGAGGGAAAGAAAAGAACAAACAGCCCTGGGATTAGATCCTTTCAACAGACTCATTTTCTCCAGTTAATAGATGGGAGTCAGTGGCTGTCCCTCTCAGGTCAGGTAACCCAGCAACTGAGGGTAAAGGCCTGGAGAGTTCCTCTGTTACTGGTCCCTCCACACGGAAATGTGAAAAGAACACACATGTCTCTGACAGCTCTGAGTAGAGGGGCTCGGTTTTGTTCATTGTTCTGCCTCGTGGGCCTAGGACAGTGCCTGACATAGAGTAGGTCTTCAGTAAGTGATGAATGAAGGAACCCTGGAGAAACTGCTTCCTCCAACTGCAGGGAAAGCTGTGATAGCAGGAGAGAATCTAGGCCAGGAGTTCTTAACACATATTTTTAAAGTTCTTAACATTTGTGTATAGGGGATTCTGGTAAAGCCTTTGAACCTCTCAGAATAATTTTCTCAAAATTATTTATTTAAAAGAAAGGAGTACAG